ACACAAGCTTTCAGAGCCTCGCTCCTTTTTCAGGTGTTAGTGAGAGGGGTAGCATCGGACACAGAATTTATAATCAAAATGTCAAGAGTCATAGAACTAATGCGAATGTATTGAACAAACCAAAGATGGCTGTAAATTTTTAATCAGTTAAGGATTAAAATACAAATCCCAGAATTTCTTTCATGTCATTGCCCCAAGATAACTAAAGGTGTTATTAGTAAACCAGAGATGACATCTCAGGTCAGACAATGCATTTTAGGTGTGAATCCTTGTTTGGAATCTGGCTGTGCACCAACTTGGAGTCAGACTGGATTTATTTATAAAGTAAGAATTTACAAAATGCCACAGTGACTGTCCACAAAGTGTGCTTTTTGAACAAAATAGAATGTATCTGCAATTACAAATCTGCAAATGCAAATTCACCCCATAGATTTATACGTGTGTCTGTGTGTGGGCCTAACTTGTCCATGCCAACCAGATTTCCTAAACCGAACTTGTCCCATTTGCTTGCATTTGGCCTATATGCCTCTAAACCGTTCCTATCCATGTACCTGACAAAATATGTTTTAAATGTTTTAATTGTACTCACCTCTACCACTTCCTCTGGCAGCTTGCTCCATACATGCACCACCCTCTGTGTGAAAATGTCACCCCTCAGGTCCCTTTTAAATCTTTCTTCTCTCACCTTAACCCAATCCGTCTGGTTTCAGACTCTCCTATCTTGGAGAAATGACCTTGGCTATTCACGTTATCTGTGTCCCTCATGATTTTGTAGACCTCTGTAAGGTCACCCCTCAGCCTCCTATGTTCCAGCGAGAAATGTCCCAGCCTATCAGGCTTTCCTTATAACTTAAATCCTCCAGTCTCAGTAACATCCAAGTAAATCTTTTTTTCACCCTTGCCTGTTTAATAACATTCTTCCTTTCGCAGGGAAATCCGAATTGTATGCAGTACTCCAAATGTGGCCTTACTAATGATCTGTACTACTGTAACATGACGTCTCCACTTCTGGACTCAATGCTCTGACTAATGAAAGCAGGTGTGCCAAATGAATTCTTCACCACCCTGTCGACCTGTAACGCCACTAACAAAGAACTATGTACCTGCACCCCTAGGTCTCTCTGTTCGAAAACACTCCCCAGGGCCCTTCCATCAACTGTATAAGTTCTACGCTGGTTTGTCTTACCAAAATGTAACAACTCGCATTTATCTAAATTAAACTCCATCTCCCATTCCTCAACCCACTGGCCCAATTGATCAAGCACCAATTGCACGTTTAGTTGATCTTCTTCACTGTCCACTTAACACCAAGTTAGGTCTCATCTACAAATTTACTAACCATGCCTCCCATATTTTCATTCAAATAGTTTATCTAAGTGATAAACAACAGTGGATCCAGTGCCAATCCTTGCAGCACATCACTGATCACAGGCCTCCAATCTGAACAACAATCCTCAAACACCAATCTCTGTCTCCTCCCATCAAGCTAATTTTGTAATCCATTGGCTAGCTGTCCTTGGATTCCTCGTGATCTACCTTACTCAGTACTCGACCATGCGGAACCTTGTCACAGGCCTTGCTAAAGCCCATGTAGACGATATCTGCTACTCTGCCTTCACCTATCTTCTTGATCACGTCTTCAAAAAACTCAATCAAGTTTGTGAGACGCAATTTCCCATGAACAAAGACATGCTAACTATCCGTATTCAGTCCTTGCCTTTCCAAATTTCCTATCTCTCAGAATCCCCTTTAAAAATGTACCCGCTTTTCCTTGCAGCCTTTCTTAAATAATGGCACTACATTAACCGCCCTCAAGTCTTCTGGCACCTAACCCGTGGCAGTCGATGATACAAAAATTTCTGATAGCAAACTTGCAACTTCTTCCCTAACTACCCACAACATACTGGGATACACCTGATCAGGTCCAGAGGATTTATCTACCTTTGTGCATTTGAAGACCTCCAGCATCTCTTCTTCTGTAATGTGGACTCTTTTCAATACATGACTGTCTTCTCAGTGCCTTAAGAATACTCTCAATTTATCCAGGCTGTTCATAACATACACAGCTTGACAAGCTGATACTCAGAACACCTAAACACCCAATTGTTCCATGTACTCTTAGTGTTACTAACAGTTTGGCATATATGTCTACATAATTTTAAAAGGTCACAAATCCAACTGGACTTTATGACGGAATCAGTTGTCGTTCTGAACCCTGCCAGATTCGAATTGACAGTGTGATGTAATTGCAGGGTTCTTGCCTCTGAGACAGAAGTTGTGGCCTTCTGCTGGACTAACAAAAGTAATATTTCTGGGGTGACCTTCAGTCATTGCTGAACAAGTGCCATCTTGCAAATAAAACAACATCGTGTCTTATTGCAGAAACATAAAAGATCCCATGACACTGTTTAAGTAGAATAAGAGAGACCGACCTGTATTGTAGTACAGCATAGAATAATACAGCAATGAAGGCATTTACTCCACCATTCCTGTGGTAGAACTATTTGTTTAAAGTTCACGTGTTCCTTAACTAACACTAAAAACAGATTCTCTGTCACTCACCTCATTACTGTTTGTGGATCTTTGCAGTGTGCAATTTGACTGTTGCATTTGTCTCAATAGAAATATTGATAACACTCAGTTGTGGAGTTGTTTAAGATATCCTGATGTGGAAGGTGCAGTAGAAAATGCTCGT